GCTTAAAAATTTGTTCGTGTTCGGCTCGTTAGGCTTAACGAACGAGCCGAACACGAGGTGCTTAACGAGCCGAACACGAGCTGCTTAACGAGCCGAACACAAGCTGTTCACGAACAACGAGCCAAATTGACAGCCCTAATTATCAGGATTAATTTTTAGGGGCATTTACTTACATGCCACTCAATTTCTATGTTTTTACATATCTAACACCTAAATTTAACTTTTACATTTGTAGCATCCAAATCTTTTAGATCATTTTAAAATATCACCATTTTAACTTTTAAAAAGTGAGATACACGTTTTCATGCATAGGCAAGATGACATGCATGTAAAAATGAATTTTAGGTGTTATATATATATAATACAGAAGAATCGAGTTGCATGTATGTAAATATTCCTAATTTTTATTACAGATCCGGCTTGTTTGCTGAAACAGGTATGAAGAAGTATTGCATGCATGCGCACTTGATGTCGACATTTCACGTATGGCTGGAGGTGATTTGGCTTATATTGGAGAGAAAGGGCTCAATTTATCTGGTGGTCAGCGGGCCCGTCTTGCGCTGGCTAGGTCAAATATCCAATTATTATTTATGGTTTACGGATTAGAACTTTATCTAAGAAGTTTAACATTGAATATTTGCAGAGCCATATATCGCAACTCTGATCTTTACTTGCTTGATGATGTATTGAGTGCTGTTGATTCACATGTTGCTAACTGGGTTCTAAGCAAAGCTCTTTTGGGTCCATTGACTTGCAAGAAGACACGTGTGCTCTGTACCCATAATGCTCAGGTTGGTCGTCACTCGATTATGGAATTTTTAGGGATAATTACATACATGGAACTTGAAACATTTTTATTTATAAAACTAGCACCTAGTTGACTTTTTTGTACTACGAGCCGTTGCATTTATGCATGTCACGATCAAATCATTGAGAATTTGATAAAAATAAAATATAGAAGTTGAGTTTTTATTGTGAATTTTAATATTTGATCCATAATTTGAAACTTGGATGAAAGAGGGTTCTAGTTTTATAAATAGCAATGCCTTGAGTGCTATGTTTATAATTGCCTCTAATTTTTATACTATGTGGATAATATACAGCTGAAGTATCTATCCTATAGTTGTGTTAAATATCTTCTGTTTACTGTTTGATGGTGGCGGTGTCGGCAAAGTGGCAAGGGGAATAGGGGACTGGTGGAAGGCTGCAGGGGAGGTTGGGAAGAGGGTAGAAGGCTTAATTAAGGGGTATTGGAGTGGATTGGGAGGTCAAGTGGTAGGAACGGCAGGGGGGGGGGCGGTGCTGGCTGAAAGGGCAGAGAGCTGGACAGCAAGGAGATTGCTGGGGAGATGACGGCTGGATGCAGGGAAGGGTCCAGGATGGCTGGACAGCAAAGATAGCGGCAGGTGGGAGGCTGGGCGACTGATCTGCGGTAACAGTAGGGGCGGCAGACCAAGGAAGATGTCCTGGGTGTGGCCGACGGCTAAGGGGAAGGGAAAGGGAGGATTGGTGAATAGGGTTGAAGAAGATATAACACCACCTCGGAGCAGGATACAGCTCGAGCGCCACCCGTCCTCGGATAAAGCCTTAGCAAGAGAGAAAATAGTCCAAAGGAGAAATCTGAACACAGCAGCAAGCAAAACTGAACGCAACAACCAAAAAATAGCAATTTATACTCCCAATGGAGAAGAAAAGGAAAGAAATAGGAAAGGAAACTCCCACACAAAAAGAATTTTGGTGGTGGGGGGGTGTTAGTTCTTTTCCATATGAATTCTATGCATATAAAATGAAGGACTGATTCCTTTTATATCAGCAATTGTCCATGCAAAAGCTTTCTTCTAATTGAATATGGAGATTGATCTTTGTTGTTTTTGTACAATTCAAAGGCTATTTTGTTGCATGTTGTGTTAAATTATCCAGAAAATAGCTATTAAGACTTTCCATGCGGAGAAGAGCGCATAAGGAAGTAGGAGTGGCGGTAGTCCTGCTCTGTATAGAACTCCCAAAAAATCCCTCCCGGACCACTGGACTAGTTAATTCCTGCAGGAATTATTGCCGGTCGGTTCAGCCGGTTGGCGCCTTTAGCGGCCGTATCACCTGAAATTTCTACGGATTAGATCGAAATATTCTCGTTGCAACATATGTGGTGCAACTAAAATTATGGGAAACCTTTTTAGGGATCTGTGGTGATAGCGGTATGATTAGGCTTATTGGGCCTATCAACCCAATCCCGAAGGGCGGAGTTGTGTTAGGGTTTTGTACGTGCTATGCTATGTTATGTGAGCTATCGAACCCTAAACCATCGCTAGTTTTAATTTTTCTTCGTTGTAGTTTTTCTCATCTTCAATTTTCCACGTAAATATGTGTTATTCTTTTTGCTTCCTTTTCTATTCCTTACATCAGATTTGTAACATGGTCTTTTCTATGTTTTTTTTTTGGGAAAGGCAATTGCTTCTGCAGATTTAATTGTTGTCATGGACAAAGGAAATGTAAGATGGAGTGGGAGCTTCCATGGATTTCTATCATCCCCATATTCAACAATATCCATGTCAGAAGACTCCAACGGTTCATCTTTGCGGTTATCTGGGGCAAACAGTACTGCAAGTGATCTCAATGAAATAACATCTTACATAGAACAGGAAAGTGATTACATAGTTTCTATGGATCAAGCTCAGGATACCGCCGAATCAGAGTTTAGAAAAGAAGGCAGAGTTGAATTTGATGTATACAAGTAAGTCAAACATTGTGCATAAGCTAATACCATTTTTTTATTCTTCAATCTTTACAACATTGCAACTTCTCATTTACTTCACGATTCCTATTACTTCACAGAACCTATGGGGCATTCGTTGGATGGCCTCTCGTTCTTCTTATTGCTTTATCTGTGATTTTTATGCAAGTGTCTCGCAATGGAAACGATCTGTGGTTGTCTCACTGGGTTGATGCCAGAGTTGGAACAGATTATACTGCCTTTTACCTGGTAATGATCATTTTTTTATAAAGAAAAGAGAAGATAGATCATGAATATGTATGATGATAAAAAATTTTAAACTAAAATAAAATAAAATTGGTTGATGTCATGAAAACTTCTTCCTCTCAGTACAGTGTCACTTTGCTCCTCCATGGTTCTCTTTTTAGGTAATACTCTGCATTTTTAGTGCCGCCAATTCCATTTTAACCTTCGCAAGAGCTTTCTCATTTGCGTATGGTGGCCTAAGGGCTGCGATTCGGGTGCATCTCGAACTTCTAAGCAAAATTGTAAATGCACCCGTGCAGTTCTTCGATCAAAATTCAAGTGGAAGAATACTTAATAGGTTGGTGTTTTATTTCCTTGTAGCTCTTGAAATTTTTGTGTGCTTAACGTTTTGTATCTGATGCAAACCATGTGCTGCAGGTTTTCATCAGATCTGTACATGATTGATGATTCCCTTCCGTTTATTCTTAACATTCTCTTAGCGAACCTCTTTAGTCTCTTGGGCATTGCGTTAGTTTTGTCTTATGCACAGGTAAAGTCATATAATTCTGCAACCATGGTTTAATGCATTTTTTTTCTTTCTAATGTCTGAGAAGCATTCCTTCTAAATCACCGCAGATTGTGGTCTTACTTCTCATATTTCCCTTTTGGTATATGTATACTAAAATACAGGTACATGCTATTGCTCTTCTCTGTTATGCAAGCATTTCTTGTTGTTTAAATTTTTCTTCGTAGTAAATTACATGAAAAGTTCAACAAATGGCTTCTAATAGTATGACAAGAAGCCTGGTTTCAACTTAAAGCATTTTTTTTAACTTTTCTGTGGATTTATACAGTTATTGTTCTCTTTCTGATAATAAGTTGAATTATAAACTGGGTGGTTGAGCTGAAGTTTACAGTAGGATTTGATAACACAAGAATGGATCCAACTAAAATTAATGTAACAGTTCGAAAATATAATTTTTAGAATGCTAGTAAACGAAAATTGAAACTCTATTGGCATTTATTTCTGCTTTGCTTTGTAATCACTGCATAACAGGTCTATCATTATAGTTTGTCATTCAAGGCATATCATTTACTTGAAATAATAAATTTTCTGTTAGAAGTCAAAATATCCTTTTACCTTTCTATTAGTTTGTTTATACTTGTGTTTGTATTTAAATTACCACATATGATACTTATTATTGTTGCAATCTATTGTACTTATTATTGTAACATTTTCTCATTATTGGGTTATTTTTCTTTATTATATTTTTCTTGATTATTCTCATAGCTTGTCAATATGTAGGGACCTATTTAAATTTATTAATATGATTATTAGAAAATATGTTGTTATTTACAAGTCTCTCGTTTAACATGTTTTTAGAGTGGTTCATCATCCTCCATTGTGCCTCACACATTGCGCCTTCATTCCTATGATGTCCCTGATTGATGCTTGTCCACCATTGATGCCAATTCATTGATTGTTGTCCGCATAAAATAAGCTCCATCATTATGTCATTGCTTCTCCAGAGCACCCATAAGGTCCCTTCTATCACATCCCATTTTGAATTCCTCTCGGGTAAGCATGAGATGTAAAAGGGGTGAATAATCTAGTCATACGCATTAACGCGGGAGCTTACCGCACAAAACAACCGCGGTACTATAGCTGCTACAGTGACGGCACAAAAATTTATCGTGGGTGATGGACCAAAATAATCTCATTTTCTTTTCTTATACTTTCTTTCATATTATTTTTCATTTCTTTTTAGTCCTTTCTTATATGTGTTTTTATTAGTGTTTAGAAGGTAGTTTTTGGCTCAGACTTTTGTTAGGACAGTTGTCGGCTTCCGTTTCTCCATTTGACGGTTGTATCTGAGTGTTTGGATGGTGCTCCAGTTGTATCTATTTCGTCATGTAGTGTTTTCTTCTCTATTCCCTTTTTGCATCCTCCCAACACCGTTCCTATCATTCCCTGCTGCAGTCGCTCGAAACAATTGTCGACGCTATTCTTCCTGCAGTTTCGGCATTCTAGCCCGCGTTCCCTGTGATTCCAATGCTCCTGCTTACTGTCACCATTTTTCCAGCCACCTCTCTTCCACAATCCTTGTTATCCTTTCCGAATTAGCCGGCCACCTCATACCCACTGTCATTGCTGCTCCTGCCCTCCCGCCCCTCTGCCCTCATAGTCTAAGCCCTCCACCAGCGCTACCACAGCCGCAACGCCTTCCCTTTTCTATTTTCCTATTGTCCAGCCAACCCAAACAACAAATTGCCGCTATTTGGATTGTTGTTCCTTGCTACATTGTTGTTCATGCTGCCCATAATCGCCGTCACCCCTCATCCACAGTCTGAAAACCCCTTCCCTACCTTGCCACCACCTCTCCAAGCCCTTAACCATCACCTCCATCACTCGGGATAACGTTAGTATGTGTGTCATGTGTGTTATATTTTACCTTTCAGGTGTGTTTGATTGTAATCCCCTATTTATTTTTAGCAATAATAATTATTTTTCTTGTTTGGGTTAACTCGGGTATCATTTAGTATCAGAACTACCGTAACTCTAACCCTAACCCTAAACCCAAACCTATCATAAGGTTTCTTAACATCTGGCTTACCCCTCCATCAAATTTTTTATCTTTTCTATCATTAACTACTCCTTCGGAACACATATTATAATCATTCCACCACGGAGATACATTCTAGAAACTACCCGGGTCGAGATACAGAGGGAGATCCGTCAACTTTAACAGTCTCGCAAAAATTAATGATGGAACCTAGGGGAAAATTAAGTCCGACTATGATTTGGAGAGTGGAAGGGGAGATAGGGACGAGGATCTAAATTAGGTTCATAGGGAAGACCACGGCGAGGAATATTAGCCACGTCACTTCAGAATTCAATATCAGAAGAGTTCGAGAGATGAGCCCACATATAGAGGATACAGGGACTTCAGCATCAAAATAGATCTACCAGAGTTCAATGGAGATATGAATCTATATGAGTTTATTGATTGACTGCAATCTGTTGAGTGAATCTTTGAATATAAGGAGGTGTCAGAGGATAAGCAGGTGAAATTAGCAGCCGTCAAATTAAAAAAGAGCGTCTCTTTGTGGTTGGGAGAATTTATAGTGACAGAGACTAAGATAAGGCAATGATAAGATTACCAAGTAGGAAAAGATGAAGAAAGCAATGCAAAGGAATTACCTTTCACCTCATTATCGTCAAGACATGTTTCTGAGATTCCACCACTTGCAGCAAAAGACCCTTCAGTGGAGGATTTCACAGCACAGTTCGACCAATTACAGATGAAATACTAGTTGGTCGAGTCATTAGAATGCACTATAGTCCGATACCTGCGGGCCTGAAACCGCTATTAGCAATGTTGTGCAGTTACAACCATACTGGTCACTAGGGGATGTTCAAAATTTAGCATTTAAGGTGAAAAGACAATAAAAACTGAGCAGGCAAACAGTCTTCATTTTGGAAGCAGCCTTCAGTCAGGCAATCACATATAGCCACCGCGACCTACAAAGATACCTCGAGCGGAGTTAGCATGACATGGTAGAGGAATGACAAGACAAATTAGAGTGGAAAGAATCCTGAAAAGGGTAACTCTTTCAGTATAGTATCTGCCATAAGGTGTTTTTGGGGCCACAGCTACGAGCATAGCCTCCAGCTGTCACATTCACAGATCTAGGTGTCATCGAGGAGATGGAAGGCGAGGAGTCAGAGTATAGTCTAGAGTAAGAACTTCAGCTTCGAGGAACGGGGGAGAATTGTTAGTCATATGGAGAGTTTTGCAGTCAATGCCAAAGCGAGATCAATCATGGTTGAAACACAATATCTTTTGCACCAAGTTTACGGTAAAGGGTAAGTTTATAGTTTGATCATCGACGATATGAGTTGTAAAATGTGGATTGGCCACGCAAAAACATCCTCAATTCTACTCCTTTACCTGGTTATAAAAGAAAAATGAGATACACATGGATTAGTCATGCTTAGTCGAATTTTCAATAAGGGATTAGTTGCAGGAGCAAGTATGGTGCGATGTTGCTTTGATAAATGCATGACATATTTTGTTGGGGAAACCTTGGCAGTTCAATCGCAAGACTTAGCACGACGGCTTCAAGAATACTTACTTTTTTAAAAAGAATGGGAAACATATCTTGTTGTTATTTGTTAAGGATGCGAGAGGTGTAGATGACACAAAGGAGGCGTTAGTCCCAAGGGCTACCTTCATGCAGTCAATCGAGATCTTCTAGTGGCACTGGCATTAGTCCTACTCGAGGGGATTGAGGAGTGAGATATCAGCACCACTGCAGCCACTACTACATGACTTTCAGGATGTGATGACTGACAGTATTCTGAAGAGAATACCACCACCGAGAGACATTCAGCACGCCATAGAGCTCATACCAGGATCAGTTTTGATGGATTTGACCACCTATAGATTGAAGCCTGCGGAGTACGAGGAGTTCCGGCGACATGTACAGGATCCTATCGCGAGAGGGTTGGTCAGAGAGTGTCAGTTCTTGTGTCGTCCTCACCCTAATGGTATCCGAGAAGGACGGGTAATGGCGGATATGCATTGCAAGCAGGTCAGCAACAAGATATCCATCAAGTACCAGGTTATCATATTGCGCCTAAATGATCTCTTGGATCAGTTATACGGAACAACCATCTAAATTTCCAAGATCAACTTACATAGTGGGTATTATCAGATCAGTATGATACTAGGAGACGAGTGGAAGATTGCTTTTAAGACACGAGATGATTTATACGAGTGGACCATTATGTCTTTCGGTTTGTCAAATGCATCCATCACCTTTATGAGGTTGATGAATTAAGTTTTGCAAGCTCACATTGGGAAATTTGTGGTGGCCTACTTTGATGATATTCTGGTGTATAGCTGATCTGAGAAACAATTGCAGCACCTAAGGGCAATGTTCAAGGTATTGCGCGCAGAAATACTATATGCCCATCCAAAGAAATGCCACCTCATGAAAGACCTGATATGTTTTTTGGCTTATATATTGTCTAGTTCATTGTGAGCTAGACTGCAACGCAGTCGTTCACCAAGCTGAGGCAATTTTTGTGACTAGCGTCATTTTACAGGTGATTCATCAAGAACTTTAGTTCCATCACCGCCCCTCTAACGGAGCTTTTGAAGGGAGATAAATTTCCCATGCGCCAATCTTGGCAGAATTATACCTCAACTAGTTGTTCGAGATAAAGTGTGATGCATCTGTGAAGGGTGTGCTAATTTCATTAGTAAAAAGGGAAGTTACAAGCAACAGCCTGTGACAAAGTCAAAAATACAAACTATTTTCACTAACAAAAGCAAAAAGTGGGTGATTTTCATTTAAACTAGACAAAACTAAAGTTTGACAGCCATGATAACGGGAGTTCTAAAAGTTCGGCCATGCTCTTTTTTGAGTTACTTGCCTTCCAGTTTTGATTCATGCAAAGTGGGGATTGGAGCAGTGTTGAGCCAGGGAGGTCACCCTATCACTTTTTCAGTGAGAAGCTGAATAAAAATCCAAGAGGAAATACTCGGTGTACGACAATGAGCTATATGCTATTGTGAGGGCTCTCGACCACTGGAGCCATTACCTGTGAGTTTATGCTTTTCACAATCACGAAGTCTTGAAATCCTTGAACAGCCATAGTAAATTGACGGATCGACACGCGA